AAATGCGTCCATCTTAGGAGGTCTGCACTAGGAACGATTCCCACAGATCTAAAAAAAAGAAAAAAAGGCGAGTTTACCATCAGGAGAGTATGTAGAACGTCGACCTGCGCTAGGCCTTTATTCCCCGTTTACTACACTAGCTTTGCTCCGAATGAAGCCGCGACTCCCGAAGCTCTGAGCTATTCCCTCATCGCTAGTCATCGTCAACTTTGAGTACTGACGTCCCCTTTTGGGCGGGTGGTTTGTCGATATTGATATCACAGCCGCTTGTTCTGAGATTGACCTCCAAGGAAAGTGTCAGTGCTGGTAGGTAAGGTACTTGACCGACCCCCCTGAACACAACTTTTACCCTCAACACATCAATTCTATCCTTTCATCGACGTCTTCAGAGATACAACTTGTCAACATGTTGATTTTTATGTGATCTCTATGGCCTCCCTACCTCTATGATTGTGTTGCTTGGGTATTATTCCAACATGTTACCCGGCTAGATCAGAAGACTACCCCCATTTTCAACAGACTCTCTTTATCTTCCCGTCTGATCCTTCTCTGGTGGTATGGTTATCATATCAGTGCTTATACTCCATCATGCCCCCCTTCAACACCGCCCAGAACTCTTCGACTATCTCTTTTTGCCCACCTTGCGCGGGTCGTATCGCCAGGTATATTCTGGAGTCCAGTTCCGGATCCCAATTCCCATCTGGGTTCCCTGAAACCATGATCCCCCCTGCCTCGTTGAGGATACACCACCCAGCAGCAACGTCCCACGCGTAGCAGCCCCCTTCCCAGTATAGGTCCAGCTGGCCTGCTGCTACGGCACACAGATTCAGCGCCGCCGAGCCCAACGATCGCAGGCTGTGAACCATGGATCCTCCATTCTCCTTGCTAGCAGCCAGCGCCCGGAAGGTTCTTGCTTTGAGCTCAAAGTTCTCGCCGTCTCGTAGGGACCCCCATTCCACGCCCACCAAAGCAGCACCCAATCCTTGGAGGGGTGGTTTGGGACCTAACTTGATCTTGGGACCCTGCCCGGAACCAGGTGGTAGAGAAGCGTTGCGCTGCATGTACCCCCCGCCACCCTTGATACCGGTGTACAAGACGTCTAGGAAGGGGTTGTACACGACACCGACGGTGGGGGTTCGTTGGTACGAGAAGCCCAGGGATATGCAGGCATGGGGAAACCCGTGGACGAAATTCGTCGTGCCGTCGATCGGGTCGACTATAAAGGTCGGGGCGTCGGTTATCTTGGTGACGCCCGGCTGGTACGTCTCCTCCCCGACGAAGAGGAAATCGGGGAAGTGGGATGACAGGCGCGAGGAGACGAGGCGCTCGACGGCCTGGTCGGTTTCTGTCACTATGTCCGTTGCTACACAGAACACACGTTAGCTGAGCGACGAAGCGAGAGCACATCAAAACAAGTAGGCGGAAAGGAAACGAAGTGAATAAAAAGGGGGAGGGGCAATACAGTTGAGCTTGGAACCCTGCGCTATGTCGCTCGGGTTCGCGGCGAGGATCATGCGCCCCGCCTCGAACGCGACGCTCACGAGCGTGTCGTGGATCTTTTGCAACTCTGCTCCGTCCATTTTTTAACCGTAAAGATATATGGGGATTGTATGAAGGGGTTTAAATAAAAGGAGGAAGCTGGGGATGATGACAATGTAAATACAGTATTTAGAGCTCCCTGAAGCTCTCCCACCCAACCCGCGATGTCGCGATGGAGGGGTAGCGGGGCAGTGCTCCCCGACAGAGGAGCAGCCCCACTGAAGCTCCAAGTCTCCAGTTTATCAACAACAGGTGATCACTGTCTAGATGGATGGATAATAGTAGCAAAGCATGCATGAAGGGCTTGTTGCAATTGGTTTACGGGACCGAACAATTTACGAAGGTAATGTCAACCTCCATTACCTTGACTGTTCTGTGGACGGACTCCAGGGGACAGACAGCAATTACTATTACTCCTGGGGCTAGCTATCATGACCGATATTATCGAGAACCCGACGTCGCTTGCAACATGCTCGGGTATGTATGTATGTACTTCAACCTTTCTGTCCAACAAAAAATGAGGCGGTCCCCAGAGAAATGGCTTGTTGTCGGGGGGGTGCTATGAGTTCTGAGTTCTGAGCGATCCCCTGCGGACGACGAAACCGTTGTCTTAAGCAGACCTTGAGGTAATAATAACTCCTGATGAGCAGTCAAGGTCCTCCTCTAAGAGAGAGATCGTTAGCTTGAGAAAGCCAATGTGCTCATGTAAAATAGTCGTCCCATGGGAGGCTACTAAAATAATCTAAGTTGAGTGAAGCGTTCTCAAGCTGTGCTGTACGTGTGCTGCTTTCTTCTTTCCGCCAGTCGAGTATTTCTCAAACAATAACTACCATCGACGTAACGAGGTCAGATCCCCCCCCCCCAACCGACGGTGTCGCCCTTCGAAAGACGAGTGGTCTTTCGCAAGACGTCAAGAAGCCCTACCCCGTTATCTGACAATGCGGGTGGTTTTAGCACCCCAGGTTATGATCGGTTGATCGTCTCCACGGGTGATGGTTGCCGCCTGGTGAATAAAAACCGGGCTATGGTAGCTAATATTCGACGATATCTGGCTTGCTCAGGACATGAGCGGCGCTTCTTCCTCAAACATGTTACCGTCAAAGTGGGCATATTATCTGCAAATCTAGAAGAAAGAAAGCCGATACCCTCAGTCGATGATCCGGTGGATGATGCTCGCCTGTTGGAAGCCGGACGATCGGGCAAAAAAGGGCTAAACAACCTCAAGTCCTAAACACGGAGTGGATGAGAGGAAATGGAGTCTTCTGCCGGCGGCTAAGGGGACAGACGTACACTGGACGTAATCCGCGTGTGCTGAACGCCGACCTTTGCGTTGTGATGCCATGTGTACGGATATTATGTTGCAGAGATATGTTGCAGAGATGATATTGTAGCGATGGAAATTCCAACTCAGATAACCTGTCCCCTCCCATAACACACCTTACTGTAGAATAAATCTCCATTTTTTTACAGTCCCGGGGAAATAGAAAATAGAAAATAGAAACAGAAAGAACACCTGTGCGCTAACGAACCCTTCCCAAGAAGAACGAATCCCAAGAACCGCAAGTAACCTAAACCTAAACCGTATCCCTTATTGTACGTTCCGTAGTTTCAACTCCGCAGTCCTTGCGTTTCTCTGCTCTGCCCTCACCCTCGATGGGAGCGTTACACCTCCTCCCTAAATATCGACCTCCTCTCTGTCGGACTGTCCCCATCTTTAGTCACCGGCCTCTCGGTTCTTTCCGTCGTATGTGCATCAGCCATCGGCCTGGGACTGACCCCTCTCATGCTGATATTGCTCGGCTCGGCATCATCATCGAATGGATTCCTCCCCGCAGGGGGGGCCGTGTTGTACGCCGGTGATCGACTTCTCGTCCGTCCGCGCTCATCCTCTCCCGCAAAGCTAGAGGACCCAGCTGGTGCTGCTGGCGTAGCCAGGTTCATCTGATAACTGCTGTCCTCCCCACCGTAGCCCGTATTCGTAGCATGACTAGGATGTAATCCGAGTTCTTGCTCCTCGTAGTACCCGCCCGGTCCATACCCGAGATCTGCCTCGTGACCGACAGAGGTATCCCACGCCTCATCTGGATCTAGCGGGCCAAATCCCCTGCGCCCGCGGGTGCCTGTGGGCGGTGCACCCTCGTATGCGCCCGTGGCGGACCGGTTGTTGCGGTTCTTGAACATTCTGATCCGGTCGTTCACCCAGCCAACGATACCGCCGGGTGCCGGCTGTGGGGGGCCATAGGGGGATGAAGACGAAGACCGGCTGAAGAAGGGGATGTAGGAGAGTAAACTTGGTGGCGGTAACTATACACATCACAAATGTTAAAAACGGGTACACGGGGAGGTAATTTGGGGGGGGGGATGAGGTGGTAAACGTACGCCCAACCGCTGCGCGCGGAGTCTAGTGAAAACAATCCAGCCGACCCCCGCTGCGATGAGCAGCAGGAAGAGGACGAGGATTACCACGCCTGCTGTGTTCATCATGAACTTCCTTTCGTTCCTGTTTCCGTTTCCTAATCCCGCTTTCGTTTCGCTCCCAGTTCGTTTGGGAAGTGGTTGCGCACGTGTGCGCGATCAATTGCGCTTTTCTATTTTATCAAGTGTTGTCAGATGTCGGACGTCGAATTGAATAAACTACTCTCCGATTCGTGTGTGCTGACACTTGTTCTGTTTGCGCTCAAAATGTTCGGTTTGATTCCTGCTGACAAGAACTAAGGTACGGAGTATGGAGTGCAGGTAGGTGGGACAGTAAAGCCCGTATCCCCACTCTAGCAATGTGCTCAGCTCAGCTCTTCTTCTTCCTGGGAAATCGACCACACGACCTTACGTGTGTGGAGAAGCTGCTTGGGGGGGCCCAAGCTTTCACTTTCACACGTCCGCTCCGCGACCAATCGTCCGCAGCTCCGACCGTTTCGTTCTCGGCTGGTCCTAGCGATAAGCCTCTGCCAAGGCAACACGCTATCATAAATCGGCTCTAGCTCGTTTGCACACCGTTTTTGGCCCTTCTGTCGGGCCAGTGAATGACTTGCATTGTCATTGTCCGAGCTTCTCAATCCGTTTACACATTGATGAATGATCGTCATGACGTATTCGAGGATATCTAACATCAATCAATTGTCTACACGTAGCAGCTTCACTGAACCAATCTTTGCTAAAATGGTCCCAGAAGAATTTAAAGACGATTATATACATAGTCCTTCAAGCTGAAAAGCATTACTTTCTACCGTATATCATTTCAGCCCAGCTCGGAGTTTGCAGCCACCAGTAAGCTAAGCTGCACTAACGGCACAGCCACAGTGCCATGGTCTTCCTTGCCCATCCGGGTTCCTTCCTTCCCCTCACACCTCTCATCCTTTCCCCGCCCCGCACGAACACAACCTTTCCTCTTTCCCCTCCCATTCCCCCCCTCACATGGATCCCGCGACATAAGCAGTTACACATACGCTTATGCACAACAACAAGCGACGTTGGTGTAATGGTTAGCATCTACGCTTCCCACCTGCTCTCGGTAGATTGCGTAGGATTCGAGTTCGATTCTTGAACGTCGCATTAGGCGTCATCTCGCTGGTTTTTTCCACAAAAAAAAATCATTGAGGTTACGCCCTCTTTCTTCCCCCCCTCCCCCTTGTTCTTTCTTCTCCCCTCTCCTTTTTGTCTTTTTGTCTTTTTCGGTGTTTCTTTTGTCTTCTTTTTCTGCGGTACAACAACATAACATATCTTTATTTATCTGCCTGTAAACTGTAGGATATCGTGACAAAACACGGGCTGTATATATAGTAGTAGTCTGTAAAATTAAAAGTTAAACAAAACACTTCTCCCAGTCCCCTCCTTGTCTCGCAAACCCCAGCCCCTCTACAAACTCCCCCAACTTACACCTCCCCAGCCCATCATTCTCACACCCAGTTAGTGGCACCACCCGATCATTCACCACTATTCTCACCATCTCCTCCCTCTGGTCTTTGCATGTCTGCTTCTCCACATATATCCTCGCAGCAAACGGCACAGTCCAAGCAGCCGCGTACCCCCCTACCTCCTCTGCCTCCTGCCTTGTTATCTTCGACAGCCCCCCCTTTATCTCATACAACCCGAGTGCCGCAAGGATGCCAGTCATGTCGTTGTCGTGACTAAAATCCGCATACACCTTCTTGCCCAGTGGGAACGTCTCCTCGTCTGTATCCAACGTCCGGTTCGTGCTCGTACTATCGTTCACCGGCTGGTTCGTGAGCCGGGCAACGAGCTCATTCACCCACCCGACCCCTTGCGTGGCACCCAGCGGGTTTCCCGGACCGTAACCGTACCATTTCCCCAGCGTCTGGTAGTAATCGTAACTCTCCCACTCCTCCACCGTAAACAAACGACAGAAATCTGACAACTTCCCCTTTGACGAAGCGACCGTGTCGTACGGGCACATGTCCATCATGTACACCGTCTCTTCCATACTCAAATTCACCCCTTTCAGATTCTGTTGTAACCGTTCCAGTATCGGCGGGACGAACACAGCCGCGAATGTGTTCTGCGCATCCCCACCAAGTCCCGCATACTCCCCCTCTTCGAAACTGGTACACAGATCATGGCTGAGCGTGTTATTAACACCGCGCCCCTCGGGGATGACCACATCCACCCGCACTCCTGGCACCACCGCCGTCTTATCGTGTTTGGAAGCTTGGTTGAACCCCTCGGCCCACAGTTTGGCAGACTCTACCACCCTCTGCTGACCAGCAGATCTGACAAACACCGCCCCTTCCCCAGATTTCAGGTCGAGGTCCCGGATGAACGAGTGGTACCTCCGGTAAAAGCCGAGACCAGAGTTGACCATCTCCTGCTCCCCGAAACCTGTCAGCTGGTCCGCCCCCAGCGTATACTGGTACCCTTCTAACCACTCATACCCGACCCCGTACCCGGTCGCCTGCTGGTGGATCTTGGCGATGGTGGCGTTGTAAGCCTGAGATTTATGCAGTGTCGGGTCTCTGGCGCCGTGTCTGCTCAACACCTGCACGAAACTAACCTCGCACCCGGCCGGAAGGTCCGAGGGGAGCGAGGAAGGGACGCTGAAGAAAGGGGAGTACTGCCCCCAGCTGTGGGAGGTGGCGGTGTGGCATTGGTAGCCGCGCGAGGGGGTGTCGCATTTTTGTCTAGCGTGTGCCGACCGGCTGTGAGCAGTTAGCACACACACTTTGGAAATGAGATTCAGGTAAAGAAGGAATACTAGACGGGAAACCCATAATAGAGTATAAGGGATCGATCCAAAATAGATGGGTAAGGAAAACCATCATTAGACAGTTAGGGGAAGCTATAATGGGGGGTGTAGTCAAGGGATGTTACACCCAAAAACGGTTTGTGGGATGTGGTGTGCAAAAGACCGCACACACTTGGGGTCGCGAACACAACATGGTTACGAGGATGAGAGGGTACTATTACTCATGATCGTTGACATGAGGGAGATGGTAGGTTAACGGGAGTAAGAGGAGCAGTTAACAAGGACTGAGGGGGGTACATAAAATGGTTAATATGGGAATGGGAATAGGAATAGGGAGCGAGGCGGAATGGTTAACAAGATGTAAATGTAAAAAAGTGTAGGTGGTAATTATCAAAGACCAAAAAACGCATCGTATAACAACATTATCAAGCGTTGACTGATAAAAAATGAGGGGAAAAGGGTAAAGACCGGATAGTATGATATATGATAGTAGAAAAAAGGGGGGGAGGGCTTACACAAACACGGTAAACAAATACACCACAACAACCAACATGATCGCCGCTGCGCTAAACTTGAGCGCTGTTACATTCCCAGTCCCGGTATTATTCCTCCAGTTGGCTCGTTGCCGTTGCTGTTGTTGTCGGAGCAGTCGTCGTCTACTTAACCATCGTCCTCGTCCTTGTCCTTGTCCGTGTCCCTGGGATGATCCCTCAGGTTCATCGTCGGGTTGAGAGGAGGAGGAGGGCGCTTCTGAGGGAGGGAGAGCTGTATATACTACGGGCCCGCCGCCGCCGCCGCCCGGGAGGTAGCTTCTGAGCTGGGCTGTAATCTCCGCGAAACCCATCTTCACAACACCCCCAGCTTTTCACAGAAAACCGGTAGTGAACCGTTACGTTAGACAACGGTTGCGAACCGAATGCAACGGTAGATCGCGCGCCAACAAGTCTAACCAACAAGTCTAAAAGTTCAACGGTCGACGGGCAACGGTCCGCGGTCGCATAATAAATACTCCGTAGACCAGCAACATTAATATCGAGTTTCAGTCATGAAATGGGCCCTTTTTTTAAAAGCAGATGCGCTGTAACATACCACTTGACTCGGAATATCGGCGCGACACGTGGCTCTCGATTTATCAACCGTGTGTTAATGTTTTTGGCGGTACGGAGTACATGACAGGTTCTGTAGGCTAGCAAACCAGCTGCTGCAACGTCCGTCCATTAAAAGGGACCTGTGACCTGGCGTTGGTTGGAGCGGCTGAAACGGCTGCAAAACTGCTAATTCGCCTGCTTAGTCACCACCGATTAACCCGAGCTCAGCGCCTGAAATACACAGTACACATTGAGCTCAGTGCCTCAGGCATTTTCACATGTCCAAATATCATCAGATCGAATAAGAAGCAAAAAGCTGTGGTACAAATCTGATAATTTGTATCAAGTTGTACACTAAACAAGTAAGAGATGAAAGTACTTGGCAAAACACGAAAGAAATAACCCGAGTAATGTTGTACTGATTCGATCGGCCGTCGGAGTATCATGATTACAAACCCCCCCCCTATCCCCTTACCCTAACGCCATTGCAAACACCAAAGAAAAGACCATCGGTCAATCAACCCCCAAGGAGAGAGACGATCAATCACTCTCATCATCATCCATGGCAAACGCATCGCTCCCCTCTTCATCCTCGTCATCGTCAATGTAGATCGGCTTCGCCTTGGCGGCAGCTGCACGACCTGGCCTTGCCCTGGGCCTGGCCACTGGCAGTTCCGTATCATCGTCGTCCAGTGCCATTTCATCCTCTTCATCATCACTCATCACCTGCTTCGCCTTTGCCTTTTTCGCCGCATACGCCTTGGCAGCCGGAGAGAGGTGCACGGCCTTGGCCTTTGGAGCAGGCTCAGCATCAGACTCATCTGCAGGCTGCTTAGCGGCAGCCTTGGGCGCAGCCTTCTTCTTGGGCACTGGTTTCGCTTTCGCGGGTGCTTCATCATCCTTGGCCTTGTTCTTCGTTCCAGCAGGCCGACCACGTTTCTTTGCCGGCGCGGGAACCACACTCAGTGGTGCCTTGGCCTTTGAGGCAGCGGCCGTCTGGGAAGATGATGTAGCCCTTGCGCCGTTGGTGACGGCAGGCTTGCTGATAGCAGCAGCAGGCGGAAGATCGTCATCAGATAGGAAATCATCCAACGAGTTATCAGCCTTGGTCGATTTCCTCGGCGACGACATGGCTAGAGCCTCGTAGTTGGTGTCATCATGGCTATCAAAGTCGTTGTCAAGGTTCGACTTGGACGGCTTCGCTCTGATCTTCGGAAGGGTCGTGTCTGCAGCATCGGCGGGCCGGGACATGGCAAACAAACTAAGTCTGCCGGTGTTCGCTCCGTTCGCAGCAGTTGTAGACCCCCCAATGCCCTTGACCATAGCGCCAACATCGCCGAGCAGCTTGTTGTCATCTTCGCTCTGCGACTCATCGTCATCGTCAACATAGAGCGGCTTCTTTGGCTTTGCTGCAGCCGCTCGCTTGACTGGCTTCTCGACAACTTCCTCAGCCTCAGAAGCGACCTCTGATTCTTCTTTCTGAGACGTCTGGGAAGGCTCTTCGCTCTTGCCTATCTCCAAGAAATCGTCATCCGAGTCATCGTTAAGGACATACGTCTTGGGCTTCGCGGCGGTTGCGCGTCTGTTGCGTCCGGTGACAACGTCGGTGGTGGAAGCCGGAGGCTCTGACTCTTGCTTAACCTGAGTCTTCTTGGCACCAAGTAGCGCAAAGTCATCGTCGGAAAAGTCATCGCCCGGACCATCCGAGACCAACGAGTCAGCCTTGGGCTTAGGCTTCGGCTTGGCTTGGAACTTTTCCGTGAACCGCTGCTGTGTCTTTTCTGGTACCTTTTCGACCTTGACAGCCTTTGCTCTGGCAGGCTTCTTCTCCTGATAGTCATCGTCACCCCTTGCTGCGGCGCGACCCTTGCCAGCGCCAATCTTTTTAGACACACGACGACCACGTCTGCGAATGTCGGTCTGAATCTCAGCATCCAGCCGCAGTTGTGCCTCCCACTCCTCAACAAACTCGTCAAGATCCTTGCACCAGAGATCCTTCTCGCTAAGGGCGTCGAGCTCGTCGTACTCGGCCTTCTTGGCGGCGATTTGAGTCTTGAGCCTCTCCAGACGCTCGAGTGTCAAAGACCAGATGGGCATCTGTTGAATATGTTAGCAGACTGTTTTGCTCACTGAAAAGAGGGGGGGGGAAAAGAAGAGAAAAAAAAGACAGAAACCCGAAAGTACATACCGAAAGCAGGTAATCGTAGTCTCGCGCGGTGCCTCCGTCGACCTCATCCTCGGGCTCTTCGTTGTTGTCAAGCTCC